CAAATTAATACATTTTCAAATTCGCAATTGTTCGATAGTGGTACATCCGATCAGAATAGGTTCTTGTAAATGTTAAACTGTAAACCCTTCATCATCAAAGTTGAGTAACAACCCAAACTTGGTTGCGTTTCCTGCTGATAGTTATAGTCAACCAGTGAACCGCGTATATTTGAGTGGGTTATTTATTAAAGGCTATTTCCGGAGGAGGAGAACTTCCTGGGAAACCAAGAAATGGCACAAAATCAATTACGGATAATACATAATTGGAGGTACATTTAAAAATATGTGAAAGGAGGTGGGGACTCCTTGGAATGATAGTATACATATGCAGTGTTTAATGCCAACTACATTTGCCTAAGCGTGAATACTACGACGCTTTTGATGAAAATGTAGCTTTGTTCAAACACTGCTGCTATTGTGTCTTTAATCAAAGCGACCAGACTTTAAGCAAGCAACAAATATGAACATAGGGTAGGTTTGGGCTTTAATAATGGCTAAGGTAGTTAAGATAAAATAGAGTATGAAAGTGCGTAAACAAAAGGGTTATCGTGAGGTAGGTAAGTAATATTTCGGTGAGAAATGATTTCAAAGACCTGGAAGACTAGAACCCGTAGGACAAGCTGACCTGTAAGATGTTTCACGAATTTCTATTGTTCCTAAGGTGTATCATCTTGAGAAGAAGCTGAACAGGCTTGTAGATGGTAGAATCAAAAGGATTTTTATAATCTAGATATGTACAACCCCAATTCTTATTCTTGTTTTCATCGAAAGAGGACACCTCGGTTGGCTGACTGGCTTATCTGCGTAGACAGTGAAACGACGAATTGATATTTTGGTCAGATTACGGGAGAAAATGCTGATTGTACATTCTATTTAATTTCAGAAATTCAGCACAGTATAAGCAACCTTTATTACCGTAGTGATATTACATGTAAGATAACCGAAATCAGGATAAAAAATGAATAGGAGTTTAGTGGTTGACGGTATAGACGTTCGCGAACAGTACTGGGTATATTAACGCAAGCTCTTATACAAAAACTTCTAACTTATTTAATTCTCTCGTACCAAAGGCAACGCAAAAGACAGCATTTGATCGCCCGAATTACGCGATATATTTCGGGACCAAAACGAGTTGTTAGACGAACGCTTAGCTGGCTAGTGATCATGCACGAACATGACACGACGGAGTACCAAATGGTGGGGATGCTTGACCGAAAGCCTTTAGCTAAACAAGTCGACTTAAACAGTGGTGGTCAGCATCCAATGTCCACTGATGATTCCTATGGTCAATCCCTATGGGAATTATTTACCGCTACTGCTCACTCCCCCATAGTGGGGTTGTGAGGATCCTAAGACAGAACCAGCCGGAAGTAAAAAACTCGATGGTTCCACTACGAGTGAAAAATTCTTCCAAACGGCATGGTGGCGTGCCTCCTTGTTTGTTTGCCCATGCTAATATGGTGTTTGTACATAGGTTCCTTGATGTTGTTCTTTGGATCCCGTGTTTCGTTTGTTTCCTGTCCAGTGCCCATTGCACCTGGAAAAGAAAACAAGAACGCTAGGAACCATGTCGAGAAAAACGTACCAAATCAGTGTTTTTAAAAAAATGATGTGCATTTACCATACAGTAAAATAATGCAAAGTTTAGAACATCGAAAAGAATACATCTAATTTTTCAGTGCATGTAAAATATACTGTTAAAGAAAAAAGTTTACTTGTGTTCAGTGATACTGTATATAAAAAAAATTGATGCGTCTAAAAAATAATTAGTACCACAAACGAATGAGTTTGGTGAATCACACGATTTAGTTATGTAATATAGGTGTGAAGATATGCTGGGAATCTTACGGCACGTCCAGAACGGATTTTCTTAGGGGGCTCGACAGAAGATTCGGTAGCTGTCGCCGTGCTAGTTACTTCATCGAGGTCTAAACGATCTTCGGTTACTTGTAGATTATGGGGTACGCTTAGCTCTATGCTAATAGGATTACCTTCCAAGTAAGCCGGTGTCAGACGGTCAATGCCAACGGTGTCCTCGCGGCCTTTTCTGTCTGAGACAAAGAATTTATCCGAACGTTTAATTACCTTATAAGGTTCGTTGTATGACGGTTCCAGAGGTCTACGCACAGAGTCACGACGAACAAATACATGTGAAGAAGTTTTTAAACACTGAACAAAAGCATCAATGGACTGTGGACGAAGGGGAGCAGGTTTAACTGAACGCATTGCGTTTGTAAGCCTGTTGACGTATGAAGCGTGATCTACCACTGGTGGGAAGCTCGAGGGAGAAACGAATTCACCAGGCAGTCGCAGTGTCGTGCCATATACTAGCTCGGCGCTAGTACAACCAGCATCGGTTTTCAAGGCGTTTCGTATCCCTAGGAGAACTAACGGAAAGGATTCAGTTCAATGGGTGGTGTTTGCGGCTGACAGACCAGCTTTCAGCTGTCTATGTAGACGTTCTACCATACCATTAGCTTGAGGATGGTAGGCTGTTGCTCGAAAACGCATGCAACCTATGATTTTAGTCAGGGCGAAGAATAAGTCTCTTTCGAACTGCCGCCCGCGATCAGTTGTTATGGAAGATGGGCATCCAAAGTTAGCGATCCATCTTTCCACAAAGACGCGTGCGACTGTTTCAGCAGATACGTCCTTGATGGGTACTGCTTCCGGCCATCGTGTGAATCGATCGATGCAAGTTGAAATATAGGTATATCCGTGGGATTCAGGAAGGGGCCCAACTAAATCTATATGGACGTATTCAAAACGAGCGTCAGGGAGAAGAAAGGTGCCAAATGGGCCTTTGGTGTGTCTTATCACGTAGCACTTTTGACGAATTAAGCACGTGTGTGCCCATTCCTTTACTTCTTCATTAATGCCAGGCCAACAAAACCGATTAGTTACGAGCTTGACAGTAGTTTGGATACCTGGGTGAGATAAGCCATGCAACGTATTGAAGACGTTACGGCGATAACTTTTAGGCACGATGGGGGCGAGGAGTACTCGTGGAAATGTCGGATAGAATGGTATCTGTTCCCATACCTGAGGGTTTCTCAGCTAATTGTAGAGTTGTTTTCGACAACTCATGTTGAAGCTCGGTATCTTCTTTTTGAAGACGAGACAGTTTTACAAGGTCTACGCCGTCGATTTGGGTGAGGGAACAAACGCGCGACAAGGCATCTGCCACAGTGTTGTTTACTCTGGATACATGGCGAATATCTGATGTAAACTGTGAAACGTAATCCAGTTGTCGTGATTCCCTGGGTGAATACTTATCTGAAGGTGAGTTCAGAGATTACGTCAAAGGTTTCAGGAAAGGCAGATCCTGTGTAACAAACCTATTATCAGCTTGGGACGATTGGACATCATGCTGGGATATGAATGTTCCGGTTCATGTGGTCTTCCTAGACTTTGAGAAGGCATTTTACACAGTTCATCATGACCTCTTACACAAAATAAGTCAGGTAGGTATAGGTGAACCCCTTCTGTCATGGTTAAAGGACTACCTAGCTGAAAGGCGATTTTGCACCAAGGTCCATCTAGTTCGATCATCTTGGCACAGCTTGTCATCAGGAGTGTCGCAGGGCTCTATTCTAGGACCACTGATGCTTTTGATTTTTATCAATGGCCCACCATACCGCCTAAGCTGCCCGACTCTTCTATACGCTGACGATGTAAAAATATGGAGGGAAATAAAGTGTCCGAAGGACTCAGATAGGCTGCAGGCAGATCTAAAGCTTCTGGAAGACTGGGCGGTGGCCGGTGGCACAACTTTCAACCTGAAAAGTGCAAAGTGGTGAAATTATGCACCTGTAGACTGCAAAATGTAAGTTACACACTGTGCAGCGAGAGCTTGTCTTGCACAACATCGGAGCGCGACTTAGGTCTAGTTCTAACGGAAAAAATGGACACAAGCGTAAATTACACGGAGGACGTAGCTAGGGCGTATGCGGTCATACACTTTACACATGGACAGTTAGGTGTACTCACTCCTGGGCTGTTTCTAAAGTTGTACAAAACATACGTCAGACCACACCTTGAAGTGCATAATATTACTGTACCCCCACTGCTTAGAGGAGACGCAAACCTCCTGGAAAGAGTCCAAAGACTGGCGACAAAAGGAGCGGTTGGTCTCCGAAATAAGGCATATGATGAAATCCTGAGGAAATTAGGCCTGTTCACACTTAGCTACCGACATCTTAGGGGGAATTAATTACTGCCTACAAAATAACAAATGACCAGAATCACCCAAACAAAAGTGTTCTGCCATTGAGTGGGTATGGGCTTCCTCATGGAAGTCGTAGAAGGATAGCTCACCAGAGGGCAAGGATCCGGGTGAGCTTCCACTTCCTTTTACTGCGGGTTTGCCGTCCCTTGAATTCCTTACCGGCAGATGTAGCTATGGCACCGTCTTTGGACACCTTTAAGTGAAGGCTAGACAACCATGCAGCGACACAATGACTGCATTCAAATGGCCTATCCCCTTAAAATCTCATACACCATTCAGGGGTAGACAATTAAACTTGTCGTCTTACTTCTTTATATTCTCTCCCTTCTTACTCTCCTGAGAACTTTAACTACGCTTATTATCATCATTATTACCGATATATATATATATTATTCATATTATTCTTCATATTTAATCAGCTGACTGCTGTTACGTTTTTTTATTTCTTTTTGTCTGTTAGTCTGAATAACTTCACTAATTATATCTATTATTATTTCTTTTCTCTTGTCGATGATACCGGAGGACTAACTGGTGAAAGGATCAACTCCATTCACAGTAGTAACAGTCTTAACACACCTCATATCTACAAACCAACTAATTAATAAATCCCAGCACTACTCCCTTTGGAGCCAACCAAAGCTACGACAGTCGAGTGGCGGGACGAGCTACTCAGAAGTTCACCAAAGATCAGGAACCTATACCTTACAATCAAGAAGCAAGCACAAAGAAATCAAATTGGTTTTTACTGGCTCGCAATAAAATATTGGATATTGGATGTTTGGTGTTGAAAGTGCGCGGTTTGACATGCAAACGCTACGTTAAGTTTTTGGGTTACTGTTCTTTTATTAAGGTAGGTGATTTCTTCTGGAGTTTTCAGTCAGATTTATGTCACTCCTTGTGGTTCTGTTTATATTTATTTGCTGATGGTTAATAAAATTATGAAGTAGCCGAATTGAAAGGCTTACTGAGGTTACAGCTAGCAAACTTCGGGTTCACTGAAGAAAGCAGGACGAAATTCCCCTTAGTTTAAGAAACCATTGCACGGTGCGCTCGAATTATGCTTGAAAGATCTTCAGTGCACCCAAAGGTTTCCCAGATGATCTGTAATGCGGAAAATCAATCATTTCAATAACATTTGTTACCGAATTTAAATTCGATATTTGAGAGGTTTTATTTTATTTATTATTTTTGATTTACAGCTTGATTCCACACTGTATTTTTGGTACAAGTATGGAATTTTCAGGATGGATATCGGTAGCCTAAATTTTGCGTCGGTGGCACAGTGGTTAGGACTCTCACCGACCATGCACATGGTCCGGGGTTCGAGCCCACACCGACGCACACCTGATATCTATGGTCGGCCTGCAAAATTTGGGCTACCGATATCCACGCTGAAAATTCCATACTTGTACCAAAAATACGGTGTGGAATCAAGCTGTAATCAGAAAAAAGGAATCAGAAATAATATCAGGTGTGCGTCGGTGCGGGCTCGAACCCCGGACCATGTGCATGGTCGGCGAGAGTCCTAACCACTGTGCCACCGACGCAAAGCTATCATGTTTTTTATAAGTGTGAAATCGTAGTTATGCAGAGTAGAGCCGGCTACGTTTCCATTAAGTCTGTTAATTTTTTGAAAATAAGTGGATGTATCGAAGTGCAATACATTGCACCATAAAAAGTCATTATCGACGCATAGGTTAGAATAGGTTGAAAATTGTTGTTAGCTTAGGTAAAATTGGTCGAAACGAATTTATGGGAAATTGTACATGACTAAGGGTTGAGGTGCAAGAAATGTGTGAGTAAATTGACAAGTGCAATGTCAGACTTGATCAAATTACGCTTCTGTCTGTCTGGATTCAACATAGAACTTGGCACCGAAGTGCAGCAGTTCGAGTTGCCACGTTCCAAATAGCACACAGAGGTAGACAAGAAGATGAGTGAAGAGAATTAATAGAGTTTGACAAATATAAGAGTGAAACAGAATGGGTAATGGTAGAAAGGAAAATGAAATTACGCTTGAGATTGAGAAGTGTAAATGTGTGAATATTTCAGGTTAGATGCATTCAAATACAAAATAAGGAAAATAACCTATTTTTACTTGAGATGGCAAATGTTATAAAGACCAATAAACTCTAGCATGATTAGTTCCTAAGGTCAGTTTTACTTTCCTCGCAATACTTGTTGAAAGTTAGGGAACTTTAATGTAAGTACTTTCCCATTTACTGAATACGTTTCTGCCGTGTAGCTATGTTCATCATCTGTTAGAGTTCATCTGGTACTTTATTCGTCCCAGTTGCTGTTGTCTATGTTCGCCCTCAGCGTTAGGCACCTGGACTTAGAGGACTCGGATATTTTCAGGCTTAGTAATGAGGACCACCTTTTGCAGTTTTAGGCAGACGACATCCCATTCTTAGCACTTAGTGATTCCAGCTGCAAATATTTCTGTTGTGTTTTTTGTTGTTTTCCCTCCGTCACCTGGGCCTGGACTCAAATAGATCACACAGCTACTAGGTATGTTGGCTACAGGTCTTCCTGACTTCTTAGGATGGTACATCGTAGCTGGGTGGCCAGATTACCCGTAACATCATCTACTCTACGGAGAAAAATAATCCATGCTTCAGTATAATGTAGTTTCGTTTAATGGGACATTGATATGTCATATGTTCTTCAGAAAGGCTTAAGGAATACCGGAAATCTGTTTCCATTTAGCACTGAAATCGGGTAGTTGCTACATTTTTGGTATGGTCCAAACATACTGCGAGAATTTCGTGGTCCTCCGCTGACATTTTGGCTTAGGGTGTGTGTGAGTACATGGTTACGCTCCTTCTGGGATACCTATTTCAGTTTCGATTGTATTTATTTTGGGCCATTTTTCCCTTACTATTTAGTGGTCATAAATGTTCTAAACAAGTTTTTTTTAAACACGTTTCCGCTTTCTACTACAACCAAACATAAAACTGTGCTAAACTCAAGATTTGTTGCTGGTCCTCTAAAGAATATCTACTGTTCTGGCATACAATGAGTGTGAGGACATTTCTAATGCTTACGAAAACAGATGACAAAGCCTGTTTGTCAGAACACGCGTGTGAGGTGGGATGAGCAGAATTGTCTGATGGTAGCTGGAAGCTAATCCAGCGGATACTAGCCATCCACAATTGTCGGCGAGATGGCCTCTACGGTAGATGGAGTGGTAATCAATAATCTACAGACTTCTGAAATGTTGGGCATAGCACTGGGAGACAGTTTTAATGGTGTGTGTGTTCAATATTCTTGATTACATAGCTCCATGTTGGGCTGAAATCGATCCACCTACCAAAGTAAAGGTACCAGACACCCTCCAAGTACTCAGGCACTTAGAGGTACGCAACCCGGATGACTTAGCTCGTCTTTCTGTAGATGTTGGTGAAACTGGTTAGGAGACTGACTAGATTGTTTAGGAAAGCTTGGGAATTGAAAAATGTACCACTAGTGCTTGATGAGACAATCACTGCGTGCGGCAATTATCAAGACACTAGTCTGTTACAGTGCGTCAGTGGCACAGCGGTTTGGACGCTCGCCGACCATGCACATGGTTCGGGGTCCAATCCCCGGCCGACTCAATCCTTTACCTCGCTAAGCCGGAAATAATGCTGGTAAAGAGGAAAGGTTGGGTATGAGGCTAGCAACCCCATCCTGTAAAATAAACACTGCTACAGAAACTTCAAGCCACTAGGTCGAAGCCCTATGTTCCACTGAGAACATGAAGGAAAAAAGTCTGTTACAAGTCACATCTAAAATATTGGCTGCCTTTGTGCCCTTCAGGCTTTATAAAATGCGTGGAAACTTAGTTCGCAGGCTGGGTTTCGTTCAGATTGTGGATGCATCGGCCACCTGTATATCCTTTGTCAGTCTTTGGAACGGCTTCACATCTATCATAGTCAGGCAATCATTGTATCTCTTAATAGTAGAATTACTTCCTATTCTTTGGTTAGGACTTTAGTTTTATCCATAAGAGAGAGGTATATCGAATAAGTTTACTAATACAGTTTACTATCTTTACAAAGTCATTTTAGTAAGGTCAATGAAGCAGCTATCACCAGCGGCAGAGTTAGACAGAGTTGCTTGATTTCGCCACTTTCCTTTAGGTTGGCAATAAACAGTAGCTCTGAAAGAAGCATATGGTTGTGTAGATATAATGTCTGTGTAAAAGCTTTTTGACCTTCATTATGCAGATATTGCTGTCTTGCCGTACGACAACATACAGGCTATTTAAATCCCACTTAATTAATCAGTCGGCGACTAGCATATATAAGTATGGTATGTGAATTGCATTAAGTGCAAAATATTATTGCAAGATTATCAGAAGCATGTATTTACAATGACACTCACTAGTGAGTTGTGTATCTGCCTAGATGGTTGTGAGTGCTGGTTGTGGTAAGGCATACAATTTGCAGTTGAATGTCAAAGGCCAGGGTGTTATATGTCAACTTGGTATCTTTCTGTCGCCGTCGAGATATTATTATGGTCGTCAGAGATTGTATTCACAATGCATCTGTGCAGAGTTTTATTAGATTTCAGTTGCGAGTTAATTATACTACCCACTTATTCACACTAAAGTAGGTGGAGTGAATTTGGAACCACATACCCATTGACTTAAAGTCAAGCGATTACGTCAGTGAGTTACATCATTACTAGGAAATGACAGCTACCTCTACAGCCTTCATGATCCATACAGCGAAGTGTTATGTATTTGGATAAGGTCTTGAAAATATTTTTGAAGCTACTGATTAAACTTCGTAAGTTGTGTAGTCGAAAAATCATGCAGTGAATGTACTCACTGTTGACCACCTGTGAGATGTGATTAATTGACCGAAGAGCTACAGTGTCAACTGACAAGTGATGGTTCGAAAGTTATCTAACATAATCTAACCAGAGCGGTTGAGAAGTATCCTAATGCACGAAAATTATCGTAGGCAAGGTACAATAGTGGATTAATCTTTCATGTCCTTACCGTTTCATTGTTGATTTCTCTTCCTCAAAGTAATACGCACTGATCACATTCATTACTATGTAAGGCTCACAGCTGATATGCATTTGCTCGTGAAGGGCTTTACCTACAACGTTCTATTACAGAAAGCTGCGCTTAACACTTTAACTTGGTGACCTTGAGTTATTTTCTTAAACGGATTATCGCTATCAATCTAACAGAGCTCAAATCCTAGCATCATAACAGTGATTTCCAGTGTTCGTGAATTTCTGAGATTTTTATTTCATATGTTGACCTAAGAAGCACTACTTGCCTATAAGAAGTTTGAAAAGAAAGTCAGTTTGCAATGTGTTTCTGTAACGCGTAAAGCATCCGCGTTGAGTTAACGTCTGTTACGACGTTTTAGTTCCTTGAGTAGGAAATTGACTAAATTTCATAACGTAGAGTTGCTCATTACTTTTGAAAAAATCCAACCAACCAAACAGCAATCAGATAATTAATTATTCAAAACTCTACGAACTTCTTATTATCATCATTTACGTTTTTTTATGTCACGTTTATATTTTTGTGATACTAATACTATCCAGCATAGATAATCTGCTGTATGATGAAACCGGACCAGTGTGCGTCGGTGGCACAGGGGTTAGGACGCTCTCCGACCATGCACATGGTCCGCGGTTCGACTGCCGGCCGACAAGGCACTCCTTTACCTCGCTAAGCCGGAAATAATGCTGGCAAAGAGGAAAGGTTGGGCATGAGGTTAGCAACCCCATCCTGTAAAATAAACATTGCTACAGAAACTTCAAGTCACTAGCTTGAAGCCCTATGTTCCACTGGGGAACGTGAAGAAAAAAAAGGATGAAAGCAGTTTTCATTTCATCGGAATATAAAATTTTGCAGTTTTGTGTAGATTTAAGTTCACTGAAGAATGAACAATGAATGCGTTTTTGTGTTTTATATTATATAAAAAGTAAATAATGGCAAACGAAACATCACTTAGAAAAAGAAATCAACAAGAGTTCAAATGTACAAGACTTTTGAGATGTTCAGACGTTAACGATTCAGCACATGGTAGTGCAGTTCGATATCATTATGAACTTTGTACTGCTTAATTAACGGATAAGACTGATATCTTTTCGTGACATATTGTCGTGTATTTGGCCAAATACTACTGGTGAGCTAATATTAGCTCGGATCTATTAGTTAATTAGCTGGTTATTTAAACTTACTACTACTGTGATCCAATAAATTATCCGTTGAACTTCCTATGTACAATTTTTAATTGTAGTGTAGATCAGTGCATTTATTAATCATTTCATATCACATTTTCTCATATTCTCAGGTTTTAACTATCTAACGATTTTCAAGCTTGATGCATCAAATTACTGTAATGCCCATATGTGGTCCAAGCTCAACTTCTTCTTCTTCGCTTCCTACTACACTTATCACACAGACTTCTGGTTCATGTCCTACACCAAGTCAAGAAAATATTAGTACCACATCGGATGACGATGATGGCGGCGGTGGTGTCGGTGGGGGTGGGGGTGGTTCGTCAGATGGTGAATTATGGGCGCCACTGGCTGTCCGTGGTTATCTTAGCAAGTGGACAAATTTGTTACACGGTTGGCAAGAGCGCTATTTTATCTTGTCTGATGGGTTTTTAACGTATTATCGCAATGCCGAAGACCTGGATTTGGGCTCTAGGGGCTCTGTTCGTATCAAAAATGCATATGTAAAGACTCATGAGTATGATGAATGTCGTTTTGAGGTAACTGTTGATCTTTTATTGTCTTTTTTTACCATTGATTAGTGTCCAAACCTTATTTGTCGTTACTAGTCGTTGAATTTTGGGTATTAATGGAATGCCAGTGTATTGCTCGTGCTTAATAATTCTAGGCGCAAACTGCCTATATATCATGCATATTAAGAAATGAGATTCAGACAACACTCCATGTGAATAAAACCGCTTTTTATGAGAACGAGGGGCTAAAAAGCTAAAGGATTCATTGATAAAAGAGCTTTCGGAACGCTATCGTGATTGTCATTCACTCTTTTAGTGAGATATCATTCGAATGCCTAAATGTGAAAGCTCAATAATTCTTCAACGTAAAGTTTAACTCAGAAACCATTGAATATGAATCAGAAAATGCATTTCGATGGTTGCTGAATATATAAAAGTGGCTTTATTCACTTCTTTAAGGCCATAGATTCTATATGTATCATATGATTTAGGACCAGGATTTCAGAATTCTTCTAGGTGAGCCTTCTTATCTGCTGAATATACTAGTTTATGCTTTTGCTTTTGTGAAAACACTTAGAGACTGTCAAAAAGAATTATGTAGCGGATGTTATCTGCATATTAGTAAATGGAAGCATTTCCAGAAGATTTCTAGCCCTTTTGTAGTAGAAAACAGGATGAAACATGTATTAGACAATTAAAAGTTGTGATTATGTACTTTCAGTTTTGAATGTCTAAATATGGATTGTTTCGTGTAATTTGCGCTACGAATGTTATCTCTGCAGTGCAAATTATTATTATTTCCTTTAATTCCTAGAGGAACATATGGCTGCACGTCTCCATTGCGTTCGGTTCTCTGCTAGAGTTTTCACTTGGCTCCAAGTCTGCCCTCATGCTTTCATCTCCTCTTCACATGACCTCCTGCAAGTCACCATCGCATTGATGGCCACTCGCCGCTTCCCTTTCGAATTCCACTCGGGGGCTTGTCAAGTGATATCACTTGATGGTTTCCTCAGAGTATGGCTGTCCAATCCATCTCCATTTCTTCCTGCCTATTTGTTTCACAATCGGTTCCTGTTGTGTTGCTTTGCTCCCAGAGATTCTCATTGCTGATGTTTTCTGGCCATTTGATCTTGAGTATTGAGCGAATGCAGCTAGCTGTTGATGAAGGTCTGTAGTTTGTTTGACGTGCTCTTTATGACACGGTGGCCAAGTCTCTGATCCGTATAGTGAGTAGCTCTGACTTCAAATTGGAGTTGGAAATTCGGATCTTATTTTTCTTGGTGAGTGCTGTTGATCTCCACACAGACTTGAAAGTAATGAAAGCTTGTCTCTCTTTCCCGATCCTTGCTTTGATGTCCTCGTCAGTTCCGCCTGTGGTTGAAACAATGCTTCTCAGGTAGTTAAATGAAGTTGTTTCTTTCAGGTTCCTCCCATTTATGCTGATTGTTGTCTGTTGTTGTTGTTGTTACTGTTGGTGTTGGCTAGGAATCTTCATCACCTCTGTTTTCTCTGTTCACCTGAAGTTCTATCTTTGATGCTTTTTCTGCCAACTTGTTCCTTTTCACTTGCATATCCTCCAGTTTGTTGGAAATCAAACATATATCATTGGCGGTATTCAGATCCTCTAGGTTTTTCGTGAGGGTCCATTTTATACCTGTTTCCTCGCTGCCCACTGTCTGTCGTATTATCCAATCTACCGCAATCAAGAAAATCATTGGCGATAGTAGGCAGCCTTGTCTTGCTCTTGTTTTTATTTCGAAGGATTCCGTAAGTTTCCCGTTGTGGATTACTTGGCATAGAGCATTGTCATACAACTGTTGGACGAGATGTATAATTGCCGGTGGCACCCCGTAGTAGCGAAGTAGTTGCCGAATCACATCTCGATCGACGCTGTCGAAGGCCTTTTCAAAGTCGATGAAGTTGAAATAGAGGGGTGACTGCCATTCAAAACTCTGTTCAATGATGATCCGTAGTGTGGCGATTTGATCAATACATGATTTGTTTCTCCTGAATCCAGCCTGTTATCATTAGTCTCTATTAATTGAAACATTGTTTCGAAGTGTGCATTTTGTCCATCCAGTATGACAAGTGAAAATTGACAGTTGAATCATTGATAAAAAAAATACCAAATTATTGAGATTGCAAATGAAACAATAATAATTGGTATTATTATTGGCTTTTGAAATATCTGAGTTATATTTCATGCTTTGTGTTATATACGCGCTTAGGTACGTGTTGGTGATGTTATCTGGTATCTACGTGGATTAAGTCAAGAAGAACGTTACAACTGGATATCAGCTATTGAACGGCATCGTATCGCTGAATCAGGCTATGGATCAGAAAAAACACTTCATCGGCACAGCTCATTATTATCGCTTAATTCAACACACAGTCCTAGTATACATTCAACGTCTAGCTTTAAACGAAATCATGGATTAAAAGAGAAACTAGCTGAAATGGAAACTTTCAAGTAAGTTAGACGATTTTGTAAGAAAACAATATGTTATTGTCTTTTGTTATCATGTACTGATAGATTCAGTCTTTTATATCTACATGTTAAGGTATTTTCTTAAATGAGAAACTAAACTATCCATAGCAATTTGATTTTGTCAAGCTAAACGTTGTCACTAATTGATATTTTCAAGTATTGGTTTTGTAGGGATTTTGTTTGATTACATGGAGGATTTCATCATCAACTGACATCAGTTAGAGAACCATTGGGAAACCACCTGGAATACTGGACAGCTGTTTCGTTCTAGTTTGGGACTGACTCTTCATCAGCACACAGCCACCACCAGGGGTCGAACCCAGGGCCTTCTGGTTACAAGGCTAGCGAGATCGTACACCATTGAGCCACCGGAACCCGATCCAAAGGTCTTTGAGTTCTAACTTCTGCCAATTCACGACACAGCGCTACCATTTCACAATGTCTTCTTCCATGAATGACTGACTATCTCACCTTCAATCTGCTGTACCCTACTGGTCACGGCTTCCCACTAGAACCCCAGGTAACTAACTGCTTGAATATAGGGCTAGTCGCTAGTGAGCATAAGATTAATTTTCACGTATTGGTTTTGTTGGGATTTTGTTTGATTGCATGGAGGATTTCATCATGAGCTGACATCAGTTAGATTGGTATTAGCACTGTGAGAAATAATCATCCTAGATTTGGGCTATTCAATGGTTAACATATATACACTAACCTACAAAGAGTCAAACTCAAGACCACCGTTAGATTACTTTTCTAGCATTTTAAAAACCAGTTACTAGACTGACTTCTGATAGCCTATCACTTTCAACTTCTGTCAATTTTCAGTATGCTACGACCACCCATTGGGATTAATTATGTTTATCCTTATAGCCGCCTATCTGCTAGACCTAGAAATTTGTCTTAAATCTAGTCATGCCTAATGAGCGGTGGAGTAATGTTTGAACAGCTTTTTTTGGTGTGACTTATTGATATAAGTATGGAATGCGTCTGAATAACACTGTCCATTGTTACAAGGTGGCTTGCCATATTGATTGACAGTTTGATATTGTATGGTTGGAGGCGATCGTCAGGACGCTTTGCACACCTAGGTTTCGTGCTGTTTGGCACTCATCAGTCAGTCAGCAAAGTGTATCTGCAACCTTAAAGGAACATATATCCCTTCTGAAATTCGAACCTGCGTTGTCATCTAGGGCTGCAGTCACAGACGTTACCACTGAGGTATTCAGGCTCACGAGTAGAAATCTCAAAGGGTATATGACTTACTTCAAGCTTGCAGATACGCCTTGCTTACTAGTGAGTATCATACTGGCACGAAATCCAGGTCAAGCAAGGCTTCGTAGCGATAGTCTTCAACTATCTAATGTCAACAATTCAAAGTGCAGTGTGCTGGCGAGCCACCTAGTTGCATGGTTGCCACTTTTGAAAACGTGACTGATAGGATTCAATATATTAAATATTTCCATAGTAAAATTTAGAACAACACATTGAAGCGAACGATATTGTGCTTTCAATTAGATTTCATTAGGCTTAACTCTAATATACCTACATAACTTTACAAATAAAAATTCAAATATAAACCAATCATGGTGTTCTGTCGATAGGATAATAAGATGGTGAATATAAATTGTGCCATTAGTCATAATAGTAGTAATGATAATAATATTGATAATAATAATAACGGTCTTATCAATAATAAGGATGAAAAAGTGAGGCAATCTGTGACAGAACACGAATAATGAAATAATAAACACGAATAATGAATAAAAAAATAAACAAATGTTCATATAAGTATAAAACCTGGGCACTGTGGTAGAGTATAACTCTACTAGAGATAACATTTTATTTTGATTAGTCACACAGTGTTACACAGTAATATTAACTGATGACTTTTCGGGCACAAATTATTGCTCATAATCAATTTTGTCACATTTAATTGATAGTGGTCATGTAGTGCAGAAAACGACAACTTTCAAAGTAATTCATCGTATCCCACCGAATCTTTCCAATAGACTTCGTATTCGTCTACTGCACACAGCTGAGGCGATAGCCATTCGAACAACTATTAAGCCTAAACTATGCTCAATTCAAAATAAGTTCGTACAGCCATTATCCTTCCATTGTTGGCCTATTAAGACATAACCAAATGATGACTTCTACACCACTCCTTACTTATATTTCCAATCCCTCTCCTATCATCCCTTAATCTTATGACATCTTCATTATAAACGTGTTTCATTTACTTCCCATGAAGTCTAGCATTACTTAATCGGTTCCCTTGTTATTCTTAGCCTTTATCGACTACTACGTCCACATGAACATTTGTTTGTTTAATCATGCTGTTTTTCATTATTCGTGTTATCACAGATTGCCTCACTTTTTCATCCTTATTATTGATGAGACTATTATTATTATTATTATCATTACTACTATTATGACTAATGGCACAATTTATATTCACCATCGTATTATTCCATAGACAAAACACCATGATCGGTTTATATTTGAATTTTTATTTGTAAACTTACATATATCAGAGTTAAGCCTGATGAGATCTAATTGAAAGCACAATATTGTTCGCTTAAATGTGTTGATAGGATTCAGTCGACACCAAACAGAAGACCAAACGCATAACTTTAGTCACTAACTAGTATCCAGTCTAAAGTGATTGACAGTTTACAATGCGCTTTAGTACACATATATGAAATAAAAGAACACGATAGTGTATTTGATGGTGGTAAATTAATGCACAGATATGGCGAAATACATACTCTACAGGTGTTCATTAGTAATTTGATATATACATATAGAGGAATTATGTATACACCTATTAAAATTGTCGTTTGCTTAGATCTTCCGTGTTGTGCTTGCTGCTCTCCTGCTCTTCGTATTCTGCCTCTTTGTCTTATTTTTGTGTCTCCCATGTTTTCGGTCAATGCTGAATCATTTACTCTCTTTGACCTTAAATTTATCACTCCGCAGACGAACGTGTGTCTTCATATACTACTGATAAATCTTGTCAGCAGCATAAGTGGCATATATATATATATGTACCTTTTAGAGTAAAACCTCCGTAGTGTGCTGCTTCTTTTGTCCTCCTCTCATGCTTTCTATGCTGTTTCACAAAAATCTTTCATTTCTCCACTTCCCTCTTCAATATTCTTACAGACGGCATCATATACAATACAGTCTTAACAGAATCTTGTCAGTAACGCCTGCTACACATGCTACTCATTATAACTTCAGTAATAGTAATAATATTAGTAATCACGTTGTAGGCATTGCTTTTTCAGAATAACTGTCAACCATTATAAAAATAAGATTCAGGGTTTACTTTCGATTGATTTTTGACATCTCTGGAAACGTCTTGGTAAATTATTGCATTTTTTAACTTATGAATAATCCCCATCCAGACCTTACTGAAAACAAAGCATGTATTTCATCGAAGAGTCTCTTTTGGGCAAATTTATTCACTTAGTTGCAAAGTCGCAACTATATATGTGTGTACATTACGTTTGCCAGACAAGAATGAAAAACTATTCATGTATTGGTTTGTAGGGATTTGATTGATTGATTACAGGAATTCATCATGAGCTGACATTGGTTAGAGAATCACTGGAAAACCACTAGTGAGTATTAGACAGCTGTTTCGTCCTAGTTTGGAACTCTTCATCAGTACGCACCCACCGCTAGCGGGGTTCGAACCCAGGACCTTCTGGTTACAAGGTGAGCTAGCTCGTAGACCATTGAGCCACTGGGACCCCGATCCAATAGTCACCGAAGACATTTTCTAGCGGTTGCGCTATGTCGTAAATTGGCAGAAGTTAGAATTCATGGGACATTGGATAGAGGGTCCCAGTGCCTCAATCGTCTACGAGCTAGCTCGCCTTGTAACCAGAAGGTCCTGGGTTCGAACCCTGACGGTGGATGCGTACTGTTGACGAGTCAGCCCCAAACTAGGACGAAACAGCTGTCCAGTACTCCCTGTAGGTTTTTCAATGGTTCTCTAACTCATGATGAAATCCTGTAACCAATAAAAAATTAGTTAAGATTATTTTCTATAGTTTGGTTTGTAAGGATTAGCTATGTTTTTACGAGTTGATCACGGATTGATATCAGTTAGAGAACCATTGAAAACCAGGGAGTACTGGACAGCTGCTGTTTCATCCCTGTTTGGGAATCATTGGCAGTACGCACCCACTGGGATTCGAACCCAGGACCTTCCAGTTACAAGGCAAGCTCATATGCCATTCAGCCACTGGGACCCAATTCAATGGCTCATGAATTCTAACTTCTACCAATTCGTGATTTAGCGCGACCCCAACCATTGTCGTTGGTGGGATTATTGTTTACGTTATCAAAATATTTCAAAAAATGTGATGAATAATCAGATTATAACTGGGTGTGTGTGTGTGTGGTGAAGATTAGTAAGAGGGTAGTGGTGATGAGTTGCCAAAAAATAGTTGTTAATGTTAGTTAGTGCATAAGAGAAGAGAAGTTGAATAAGTGTATTGTAGTTACTTAATAAGATGAATAGTTTAATGAATGAGTTGTGATTAAGATGTCTGTCTGTCTGTTTTCGACATAGAACTTTGCACAAATGTGCGCCAGTTCAAGTCGCCACATTCCGTGTAGCACGCGAAGCAAGAGAAGAAAGTACAAGAAAAGCATAATAGAGACAGTGAGCAGAGGTGTGAGACAAAGGAGTAATAACGAAGAACAAAACAGTTTCATTGGAGATCATAAGTCACAAGGAGTGGATGCATCTGCGCTAGCCACTGAGAACGATTTTGAGCCATGTCACCAATTGTTTCCAACCATAGATTTTTACCGTCCCGAGGACCCCAGCCTGGATGTCTACACCTTCCTACGTGGCTTAGACCAACTGTTGTGGATTTCATTGACTGGTGCCAAGTTTAAGATGTATATAGAAACAAAGGAAAATATGGAATTATGTAAGAGTCCTAAAGAAGAAATACAAA